GTTCGAGAAGTTGTGTAGGAATCATACTCTGAGACTCAAGTCAGAGGGATAAAAGTACTAACTCTTTGTTATACATGTTCATGCTTTTATTCATCTTGGTGGAGCACACACACCAAATTGACATTATTCAAATCTTCTTTAATTATGAAGCATTTATCTTTTTCCTATATATTGCTGTTTTTTTTTAAATTTTCATATTTTATAATAACCTCTCAGTCACTGCTGTGACTGTCAGTGGCAAATTCAGGTTGCTAAGACAGTGAGAGACTATCCGTGGTGTGGTTATTTAAGATTAGGGTATTTTAGATCAGGATACTGCCTTTTTAGTCAGATTAACGTTAGCCCTTGTGTCATCTGTGATCATTCAGGTCTCTCTCTTTTTTTTTTTTTTTGGCTTGCACTTGGCCTTGAGAGCAGACTGGCAGATAAATGTATTGCATTTTCCCAATCTGAAGACATCTTTGAAAACTTGGTGACCAGATTAGCACTGACAGATGTATTTTAAGAGCTTGGCAGTGGAACGTCTGATATTTCCTGTGAAAGATGTAACTTCCAGTGTCTAACCCACAGTGTGGCACTTTCTGGGGTTCAAGAAAGATGTGTGAATGAAAGGATGAGTGGATGGAACCCTCTTCCTGTCACAGAACTGAGCTAAGCCCTTTACCATTGCACCTCGTTAGCTACTTGGACTTTTTAAAAAAGGGGCTGATAATGGCTCAGGAAAGGCATCAGCCCACCCGAGTCCATGGGGTCACTGATATATTCAATATTATTTTGTATTAGTTTCAGGTGTACAGCATAGTGGTTAGATAATCACATAGTCTACAAAGTGTTTCCCCCAACATTTCCAGTACCCACCTGGCATCATACATAGTTATTACAATATTACTGACTGTATTGCTTATGCTGCACAATTTTCTGTTTTCTTATCTGTAAAATGGGAATAATAATATACCTACTCTCAAGGTTATTATGAGAATGAGCAGAATGATTTGTGACAGAATGAAATGATTTTGTGTGTGTGTATTTTGAGAAATATTTTTTAAAACCCCTTCTGAAATTCTGAAGACAGTAGATTCAGCCTCAGTTGGCTGGGTCAGAAGATGGGAGTAAGGAATGCAGACTGAGAGAGTGGAGTTGCTTGTGGAAGAAAAGGGAGCGCTAGAGAGGGACCCTGTGTGTATGTCGGGGTGGCGGTGGATCACGTCTAGATAACTTAGAATCACACTGAGAACTTTGAAAACCAAATAGTTTGTACTTAAGGCCTGGCCTGTGTGGCTCAGTTGGTTGGAGCATCACTGTGCACCAAAAGGTTGCAGGTTTGATCCCCAAACCAATCAATGTTTCTCACATTGACGTCGTTCTCTTCCTTCCCCTAAAAAAAAAAAAGAAGAATTTGTACTTGAGGTAGAAAGCAGTCAGGAGCTTGAGGAAGCTTTTGAGAAAGAATATTTAATTGTTGAGATTTTATCTAAAAAGTTTATTCTTTGTGTTATGAAAATGTTGTGATAATGGAGCAACACTGGAAAGAACAGAAGCTCCTTTTTTTTAATATCATATCTGTGAGTGTGAGTTACTGACCTGGACAGTCAGGCTGCAGCATGAAAAAGTAGACGATTCTCCCCGGCCTCCTGGTGCTTCCATTCTGGAGGAGTCAGGCAACGGACAAGATAAATAAATATGTTGCATGGCAGGCAGTGGTAAGAGCTGAGGAGCTAAATAAAGTGGAGGAAGCAGATAGGAAGTGTCAGTGTTGGGTGTGACGAAGGTGAGTTTCCATTGCATATAGAGTGGGCAAGGAAGGCCTGACTGGAGGGAAGTTTGAGGAAAGACTAGAAAAATATTAGGGGCACAAACAAATGAAAACTACGCCAGAGAGCTTGAGAGAGGAGAGCGAGAGGAGACCTGGCGGGCGCAGGACGAGAACAGTGCAGCCCGGAGGGGCGGCTGGGCAGTTATGACACGCCTTTCTCTGCTGTTTTTCTTCACAGAATTCACCTGACCTGACATTATATTACACACCTATCTTTTTCTATTGATTTCATATCTTCCCCTTCCCCCCACTAGAAAATAAGCTCCAAAAAAGCAGGACTTTGTCTCTTTACCATAAGCGTCTGACCCACACTGGGAACCAACTTTAGTGACTAAATTAATGAGTGAAAGGGAGGAGCTAGAACATCATGTTAACTATGGAAGAGTGAAAACAGGAAGGCGTGTACTGGTCCAGTACCCTTTGCGGGTCCTTGATGATGATAAATGCTTGGGGTGGAGGTTGAGGGACAAAGGCCTCGGAGGAAAGAAACCAGATAAAGTGATACCAGTCAGGCTTATCCTCCTTAACCACAGTGGAATCAGCTAAGGGTTACACAGCGGACTGTGGTATGTTCTTTTTCTTTTCTCTAACCTTTTTATGATGTATTTATCCTCTTAAACAGAAACACTTCACAAAATTACGTCGGTGGTATGATGCCAATCCATTGCATCCCTTGGGAACGGACACACCCCGCTCTGCTCCTTGTTAACATGATTTTAATTAACATATTGAAAGCCCCGTGTTCAGATATAACGATGATCTCATTTACTGTGTGGGAGGTGTTATCTGTTTCATGACTGAGGTAAAAATCTTGGGAAAATGTATCTCTACACCACAGAGCATGAAACTCAGTTAAACGTAAAAGACTGGAGAGCTTTCCTGTAATGAAATGAAGTCATATATGCGAAGGAGCTTTGTAAGCAATTGCAAAATATGCAAACAGTGTCAGTAAGACAACTGCTTGTCTTGTCTCAGCTGGAAAAATTCAGACCTTCAGAGCTCCAAGTGCATTGTCATAGGAAGGAGCGTCCGAGGAACTCAGATAGTTACATGGCGTTATTTAGAGGGAAAGACTGTAGGCTGTGAATTATTTATCCAAACTCTTAAACATCTCTACGGCAAATAAGAAAGAAAACATTGGAAAGGAAAAGAAGAAAGTCACTCTCGCAGTAGAGGTGGTAAAGCTTTATATAAGTAACATTTTGTGGGGAGAGAGGACCTATCTGATCCTTATGAAAACAGCCTTCAAGAGGCAGAGCTCGAAACAGAGAACTAAATACAATGCAAAAATAATTTTATAAGACTGTGTTAACACCACCAACAGAAGTTTCCTGCTGGGCACGCTGTCATTTTTATTCTTCTCGGCTCCTTCCATCTTATCTGTATTTCATCATAAGAAAGATTTTCACCAAAGAAAATGAACCCATCCTAAGCAGTATCATCACGGATGATAACGGAGTGATTGTAACTGAAGGCATTATATAGTTCCTCTTGTAAGCATATCTCGTGCTTGCTGCTAACTGTTATGGGAAATAGTCCATGCTGCTTATATAAACTGGTCAAAAAATATTTAGCTCAAAGTTGGAAACAATAAAGTATGTAGATTTTTCTTATGCATCAGCACATCAAAAGAAACATTTAAATTTTACAATGCAGGAGAAATAAATAAGATGCATTTTAAGGTCCTTTGCAAAATGAACTTTTAAAACTATGTGCACTTTATTTACTTCCCAGAGCATGAATTTATTTACAGTAGTACTACAGAAATATTTTGAAATAGACAAAAGTAGCTTAGAATCTGTTTTATATCTTTTCCTCTGCCTACAAGGCTTTACGTCCCCACGATTTGGGTAAACTAGAAAACAGCGATGTTGGACAGCCTCACGGTTCTTGTGTTGCTAGGCTACATATGTGCCCATTGAACCTGCTTTCTGACGGAGCACAGTTTCCAGAATGCCATGTAAAATACACGCCTGTATTTCCTGGGCAGGAAGAAGGGGAAGGCTGACAGCTTCTCCCTCCCACGTTTCTAGAGCAAGGTAGAGAGGGCGTGAAATAGAAATACATGCACAGAGGGCAGGCTCCGGAGCATGGCCGGCTCCCCGCCTCCCACCAGGGACGGAGGTGGGAGCATGGCTGTGTCTCTGCATTCAGGGGTCTTCAGATCAAGGAGCAGATGGGAGCGTTGCCTTACCTCTGCCTTGACCATTTTTCTTTTCTACTGCGTGTTCCCCCACCTTCTCACAGATTTACAAAATACATAATATGGGGAGTATTCTAGGTCTATTTCCCTGAAGGACATTGTCTGTCTATCTATCGTCTGTCTGTCTGTCTATATATCTATCTACCTACCTATCTCTCTCTCTCTCTCTCTCTCTCTCTCTCTCTCTCTCTCTCTCCCCTCTAAAGAAATACAATCCCAAAATGTAAGTTTGCTTTGTGTGAGCCTTGTTCAGTGGGTCTTACAGGATTCCCAAAGTGATGACGTGGCTTCTAAATGCCACCCCCTCAACTCTCCCAGCCTCCTTGTGCCCCCCACTCCCAATGTCACACACCACCAACACTGCTGGCTCCTGCACGGAGCACCCTAAGTCTCTATAATCCCTGTTAGACAGATTTCCTGGAATTCTGTCAAAAGACAAGGTGTGTCTTCCCTCAACATTCTAGGTGTGCCCCCCAGCCACATCCCCAGGCCCATATTCTTCCCCATCAGGCTTTGGGGCCTCAAACCCCAGGCTCCAACCTCCCCAGTGTTTGCACTGCTATTGAGCTCATACCCTTTTTCTGCCTTGTAGCAACCGGAGGTGTGATAAGCCTCTTCAAAACATCAGAGACGTCTTGTTGCTCCTGGTGATCAAATACTGGGCTCATTTGTTGGAGCCATTGTTACACCTATGAAAGATACGGATTTTTGAAAATATCTGTACAAAGCTTGGTACAATGCAAACATCCCTTTAAAGGAATGATAGAAGTAAACACAACAGTTACAATGCAATCATCCTTGTGATGCATGCCAATATAATTTCTATACGTGATTGTCCCCCTTCATAAAATGCTCATAAAACTGTGCTTTGGGCAGCGCTGTGGTCTCTCCTCTGGCATGGGCACCGATGTTCAAGGTCATTTTTGCACCTGATACTATGCCTAATGTTTTTGTACAGCTTTAAGTAAAGAGCTTGTTTTTCAGATTTTAGATCAAAGTGACAACAGTGTTTTATTGAAACAAGAAAAAAAGGAAGATTCTCTTATGAAAAAAGGTAAAAAAAAATAGAATTCAGCTTATACATATTAGATCTAATGTTGGAGTTGTTTTCAATATGACTGTGTGACTTATGTGGGACATAGATGAGACGTTTGGAACAGTTTGGATTTAAAAAAGTTAAATTTGTCATTCCTGAAGTGGGAGGAGGGCTGGGGGGAGAGCCACCAACCACGCGTGTTTAGAAAGGGCAGAGAGATGCCCGGGCACTGCCACACTGTCCGAAACGCTCACTGAATGCTGTTTCGTAATTTGACGAGATTGATAGCAGAATCTATTTTGAAAATAATAATGACATTCACCTGTTTTCAGTCACTTAATCCTTTCCCTACTTTCCATGACTCCTCTGAGATCACTAGGAGTGATCACGTGCATTTGTGCCTTCGTGTCCTTGGTATCTAATTTGTCTCAGGCGAGAGACGTGAAATTTTTTTTAAAAACACAAAGTTGCCATCTTATAGTATTCAATTTAAAGACAGTTTCCCTAGACAGAGAAGCTGGAAACAAACTGGACTCAGAAAATTTTATTTTCTAACTGTCTATTCATTATTATTACTATAATTGTTGTATTATGTATTTTGTTAGTATTGCACCATTCTTCCTTTTATTTTGATATCATACCATAGGGTCTAAGTAGTAAGTCCATTATTTTTGTTTCATCTTCTCATTCTGCAATACGTTTTATTATTTCATTAGCAAATCTCAGCTCATTTTGGCTCCATCATTCAAAAGCCTTTTTGTATTGATCCGTGCCATCATCCGTGTTCGCTTTCGGTGGTAGGCTCTCCCTTCCTTCATGCTTTGTTGCTTAGGTAACCTAACCATCCATTCATTCACATCTTTATATTTGAACTCATTAATGAGGTCCCTAAGAAATCACACTTTTTTTTAGCTTAATTAGAATAATTTCAATTTCACAATCAGGATTTCTTTTGTAAGGATCTCTTAGTTTTTAAAGCCAATCTTTTACAGAAGTTTTAAACGATTAACGACCTTCAAGTATGTGCCTGTTGGGTTTCCAAATTATAATGGAAAAACTGTTACTATAATTCTGATCCTAAAATTAATATTTAATTTCAAACAGTGACCCTGGGTTTAGAAAGCACAAATTGTGAAATATTTTCAAATGACTGTAATTATGGATTAGTTGGCTGTTGGGTTAAACATTTTTACTTTGCAGGCAAGTCAATGAGCAAGACCAACAGTGCCTGCAGTGTGCTTAGAAAACCTTTCTCTGTTCTCTTTTATGTTTCCTAAAGGAGTCAGGCAGAGTCTCAGGCACTTACCCACCGTCCACAACTTCCCTTGTTCTGTCCTGTCCCACTTGGCCTTTGGTGGTCCAAACTCGTCGGCAAGGGTTTACTTGGTAAAAAGCTATTTGGACAGATATTACAAAGAATTCTAGAGAGAGATGGAAGAAGGACACATTAACTTACTGCTTATACTGTCCCCAAACACTGTTAACAGCACTCCAAGGGGTCAATGCATTTCTGCTCCTCTGTGGACTGGAAATAAATCACTAACTTCACTGAACTTGCAGTTCTGAGGTTCTCTGAGTGAGATGACCGACTAGATGACTCTAAGTCCATTCCTGCTTTCAAGTTACAGTCTCTGCCAGAGACACATTTCTGATTGGGATCTGTCAGGATGTCTTTCAGCCTGAACCCAAAATGGAATCGGGAAGGATACCAGAGGGAAGTCAGGTGGTTGTCGGGCAGAGGCTGCTGGGAGAAGGGAATCTGCGCAGTCCTGGTCAAGTCCCTCAGGCAAAGCAACAGCAGATAATAAGCATCACTAAAACCAATTACAAAAAAATGCTACAGAGGCTCTTGGGTTAATATATATACTATATACACTTTGTTAAAAGGTTACTATACATTGCCTTGAGGACATATTGGTGCCGTTTTACAAAGGGATGTTTGACTACAAAGCCAAATAGTAGTTAATGAACTGATAACACTTCTTTCAGTTTACTTTACTGTATGATCATCAAAAAATGACTGTCTTCGTTTTGTCTCTGTTCTTTTGAAGAGAAACAAGAGCTGTGCAGTGATGCTGCAGAAATAAAGGGAAACTCATTACCTAAGTGGAAAAGGTGAGTGTACTGCAGTGATACAAAATCCAAGCGAGTGAAATTACACTGTTGAAAAGTAATTAACCGTGTTTAAACACAAGATGAAGGAAATAATAGCAACAAGCAAATTCAATTAAGAATGGAACCAAATTTTACAAAGGAGACAAGAAAGAATAGAGTACAACTAAATTTCTTACTTCCTCCCCAAAACCTTTTCATTTTCTTCTGTGAGAATTTGGGAATAATAAAATGGAACCGGCTGAGCTTCCTACTCACAGCAAGCAACTAATTCAAATTACTGTAATGGCAGTCCAGGAATGGAAAATGTCCCTAACGTAAGGTATGACTATGAAATCATGCACTGATTTTTGTGTGTGGATCATTATCTAGTTGTCATACATGTATGCAATTATAATAATGAGTGCATGCTAGAATTTCCTTGACATGAGACTTTTGTGACTTTTGAAGTAAAATCAGCTGAATATTTTGGGTACCTCATAGAATGAAAAGAATGTTTTCAAGGAAGCAGACTCTTACCCTCACTCTACGACAAACCTGTCTGAGTTGCTTGTCAGACATTCAGACCCAGTGTCTCTGAATCGAAGCCCCAGGTTGTTTGGCACAGGAGCTCATTGAATTAAGTGCAAGAAAAAACAGAGAGGAGCTTTCTGCTCGCACTTGCTGACGCAGCAGTCATTCTGAGGTTCGCATCCCTCCACTTCACTCTGCTGTCCGGAAGCCTGCCACAGCCCCATCGCTGTTCGGATAAATTACAGACCCTTAGCGTGGAGGCCTCTTCCCTCCTGGCTCTCTCTTTGGCCCCCACTTTGCTTCCCAGAGTTTCTAAATTGCTTATTGTTCTGTTTTATGACATACCTCCATTTTTTTGTCCACACTCCTTTCTTTGTTTTAATGCCCTCTGAAACGTGTACACCGGTCGGTGACCTTTCATTTGACTCCCAGTCCAATGTCCTGTCCTTTGGAGTCCCCCTGAGTTTCCCAGGTAACTGAGGAACTTACACCGCCTCTGTGCCGCGATCATATTGCATCATTCCCCTTCAATCATTATCTGTCACGGTCTCGCACACAGTGGTGAAGGAACTGCGCTTCACAGTCAAGTGGAATGATCTATCGGAACATGTCTTCCATTGCCTATGACCTTTATTAAGGACAGGGGCCATCTTTTCTTCTCCATAACGCCAAGCCTCCGGCCTCTGAGAGGTCTTCCCTGACCACTGCACCTAAGAGAGCCCACCCCACTTCTGACAAGGCACACTATCAAGTCGTACCATCCTGTTTTATTTTTTCGAGAGCACTTCTTACTGTTTTAAAATATCTCATTGTTATCAGTTCCTTTTAATGTTATAAATCCTAGCTTGCTTATTTTCTATACTTTTTTCACTTGAAGCTAACTCACTCCACGAGAACAGAGGCTTTCTGACTCACTGCTGTGTGTCCTTCGTGTCCGGAATAGCACCTGACTCGGGGTTCACTCTATAATATTTACTGAGTGAATAAATGTAATTTTCCCCCAGTATTATTGTGAGGCCATTTTATGGACAATACTTTAACCTAGAGTTATTTATTAAGATTTGAGTTAAAATTTAAAATCCACCCAAAACTAAATCACATTGTGTGTGTGTGTGTATTATTTTATAACAGTAGGCATTGAGGGAAGTTCTTTGTATATCTTGTTTAATCTTTGTATACCTTGTTTAAACAGTGAGGTAGGCACTGTTGTTATTTGGCAGAAAAAGGAACAGAGGCTCAGAGAGGAACCTCTCTGCTCTGGTGTAGGGCATTTTACCCTCCGCCCCTAGCACCAGCGTACATTTTCAGCCTGCCAAAAATAAATAAATAAAAATTTTTAAGGATTTCTTTAATAAAATTCCAGCATAAAGGAAGTTATTGTTAATGGGCATTCAGACGCTATGCAAAGATTCTTTACCAGACAATTAAGCATTAAAATGTTCTTCATCTTAAGTGGAATATTAGCTGAAGTTAGACAGTATAATTAATGCCCAAGAACTGTTGGCGGTAGAAGCACATTTCATTTGCTATGAGCTATTATCCAGTCTCTAAAAGGCCAGTACAGTATGAAATATGAAACTCTCTAGAGCATCTTTTTAATTTATGTCGTCTCAATTATGAAAGGATCACAAGACTCTCTCATTACTCGACAAACACAACCCTGAGTGATCTGCCCCCAGCTTTGTTTCCCATATTGCACTGCTCCTGGACTTTCTAGTCCCTGCCACACTGAGATCTTTGGGTTTCGTTCACATCCAGCCCTACTGTGTGCATCCTCATTGTGAGTTTTCTCCATGCTCTAGCTAGTTACACTTTTTTTTTTAAGTCCTCACCTCAGGATATTTTTCTGTTTATCATTAGATAGTGTGAGAAGGAGGGAGAGAGAGAGAGGAGAGAAACATCGGTGTGTGAGAGACACACCGACTGGTTGCCTCCCGCATGACCCGACCAGTGCCTGGGATAAACCGCAACTGAGGTATGTGCCCTTGACTGGAATTGAACCCATGACTCCTTGGTCTGCAGGCCGATGCTCTAACCACTGGGCAAACCAGCCAGGGCCAGCCAGTTATACTTTTAAAACTCGTCTCAGATCACCTTACTCCCCTGCAAGAAACCCTTCAATGCCTGCTCCACTTGGGATAAACTGCATTCCTGCCCCACGGCCATGAGTGGGGCTGCCCTCCACCCCCACACTCCCTCTGCTGTGCTCTGCCTCAGCAGCTCTGACCTCCTGCTCTCCCAGCAGCCCCACCCTCTTTCTGTCCCACGATCATGACACGTCACCTGCAGCATCCCTCCTCCAGATTTGAGTACATGTTTCTTTCACTTGACTTGGCCCCCTTTTTGTTTTATTTCTGCACATACCTCCCCTGCGGAGCTAAACTAGCGCTTTAGTTTAAAAACCTCTTGCCCCAAGTAAGAGACAAATGGTATATGACTACTGTTGTTAAGAATAAATCACCACCAATTTTATTTAATTGTGACCATCCAAAAACCCTGGAACAAGATTTGTCGGGAATAAATACTAATTCCTCTACCTGAGAATTGACTTTGTATAACTGACAGGCACCTCTCACAAACACCAGGGAGGTGTACTGGGTATCCCCACTGAATCAGGGGGAGCAGGCTGTTCCTAACCTCCATCCTTGTCTTCTCCTGTAAATGAACTTATAAGAGAGGACTTGACTGTGTTGTGAAGTGTATTTATTAAAACATTAAGGCAAGTGAATTTATGTAAAAAAGGAAAGCATGCACCTTTATTAATGAAGCAAAGCAAGCAAACCTATATGCCTGGCTTATGACACAAAGACAGGCTCTCAGCTAATCTGAGGAGCAAGTGGGGTGGGCGGTTTCTGCTTTATATACCCACCTGTCTATAAGTTGTTGTTTTTTTTAAATTCCTCTGCTAGATGTCCTGGTACAGATTAACTCTAAAAGTCTCCCCTTTCCTTTCTGATGGCTTTCCCACAATTTATGGGAAGTACCTGGATTTTTTGTTTATACTCCTCTTTTCTCCTCCTCCCTGCTGTTCTAACAACTTCAGGATGATTTGCACAAAGTGGTCTCTGATTCCTCCCCCTCCTCTCCCCTGTATTCTTCTGTGAGAAGAGGTTTTAACTCTGTTCTCAAGGTAAGGCCCTGCTACAAGTGTCCTGTGAAGCTTTTTGGCTTTAACTTTCCTGCCTTGGTTTCCTTATTCCACATGTCCCAGAATTGTCCTAGCTTTTCATTGTCTTACAACAAAACTACACGAATGACAGTTTTCAGCATTGCACTTAATGTCCTTACTTTCATTTGGTGTGTATTCACATTTCATTCGTTGTATATTGACGTATCCGAATTTATTGGTATCTAATGTGATTCCTCCTTTGAAATCACACCAGCTTGTTTTTGTCCAGCGCACCAGTGGAAGAGCTAGATCCGAGTGCTGGATGTGAAGCCAGCATCGCTGTGAGTGGTGACTGTACGGTGGCTTCTGCGATGACAGAGTCTTCTCCAGGCACATCTGTCAAGGACACAGTCAGAAAACTGATGTCTAATTTATGGTAAAGATATGTACATATTTCCACATGCTTTATTGAACTTTCTAAACAGTGACAACTCCTGATGTGTTTCCTTATTAAGTGGTAATGTTAATGAGAAAATTCAGTTGAATGATGTTATGACTTACCTCCTAACTACTGATTCGGATAGGCCATGGGTTAACAGTCCCCTGAAATAGAATTACAGCTGCTAACTGCCTATTGTTGCATGGTCCAGCAACACGGCAGATATAAGTCCTCTCTCAGTGCAATGAAAAGTACTTACTGAATTTGTCTTACTAACTTAATTTCCTTCCTTCTCTTTCTTCCTCCCTCCTTCCCTCCCTCCCTCCCTCCCTCCCTCCCTCCCTCCCTCCCTCCCTCCCTCCCTTCCTTCCTTCCTTCCTTCCTTCCTTCCTTCCTTCCTTCCTTCCTTCCTTCCTCTTCTTATTTCTCATGACATTTGCATAGCCTTCTGAAAAATCTCTTTTTGTAGCTTTAGATACTAAACTTCCTGAGGGAAACTGAGTTTTACTTTTTGGCTCAGTGCAGAATGTTATATTTGTGGCCATAGTTAATGAGGAACTTAGACTTCTGGATCTCAGTTCTCAAAGGGTGGAGACACAGAGCAGATGAAGTCCAGGATTCAGAGTTTTTCCAAATAGGGACCGATGATGAGAGGGGGCTTTGCAGTCAAGTCAAAGAAGTTAGTATACAAAAGAGGGCTTGGAAGTAAGTGTCATACAGGAGGGTGGGGGCAAGAGCGGTAACATCACTGCATTAGTGCAGCCATTTGGTTTGGTTGAGGTTCACAGACTATGAGGAGACTGTGTGGTAACAGGCTTTTATCTAGGGAGACCACACAACATGCCGTAGCTGGAAGAGTGTTTTTCCTTAGGACAGTTACTTTGACTTTCCTGATAAGTGACTGATAGGATCTTCCTGGAGAAGAGACTTAGCAAAGAATAGAAGCAGGTAGGAAGAAACAGAAAGGCAGAGGTTGGCTTTTTCTATAAATGACATGAACTCAATTCTGTAGTTGCCCTGGACCTTTATGGAAAAATCCGTGGCAGCATCCAGGGCTGTGGAGCGGTGCTTATATGGGTATGAGAGCCCCACCTACTGTTGTTTAGGAACACACTCCTAACATCTGTCCAGCTGCAGGAGAAAGGAGGAAGCACTCTTGTTTATATGCAGGTAGATCTACTGTGGACCTTGCATCAGGACACATTTTTCTAATGTTACTAGGGATCCAGAGACAAGTTGTTAAGCAAGAAATCAAGCTAGAATACTACATTTCTGGACACTAAGTTCTGACCACCAAATATACCATAGTGCCTGGGTTGGCAAGCTCACACCACCCTGGGAAAGGCCAGACCTCAGGGTTCTACAGGTATTACGAGGCTGAAAAAGACCACTTCTCCAGTGATCTGGATGGGTGTCACTCTCAGATGGCCATGGCCTGTAGTACAGTCCCTGAAGAATGGGATTCTCCAACCAGTGTCTTACCTTCTGTTAGCATTTGATCAGAAGTAATATATAAGATTCTCAGCTTCGAATTGGGTAGCCATACATTTGATTCCTGGTTTTTCACTTACTATTTCTAAGATTTAGGCATGTCAGTTGGTGACATTGTAGTATGCAATAAATTATGTAAGTATGTGCCTTTGTGTATCTGAACAGGTATGTGCATATTACTAAAAATGTATGGATATGACCACATATCCAGTGATTGTGACCTCTGTCAGATACCAGAGAAGTGTTATTGGGCAGCCCTGAATCAGAGGGAGTGGGCTGTCTTAACCTTGATCTTTGTCTTCTCATATACATGAATTTAAATGAGAGACTCTAGGTAATATTTGCATCCTGTTCAGTGAATTTATTAAAATATTAATGCAAGTGAATTTATTAAAAAATGAAAGCATGCACATTTATTAATGAAGCAAAGCAAGCAGACCTATACAACAAGCCTAGGAAGCACAGACGGGCTCTCAGCTAATCTAAAGGGCAGGTGGGGTGGACAGTTACTGCCTTATATACTCTTCTGTCTATAAGTTTTTAAAAAATATTTCTTTGCTAGATATCCTGGTATAGACTAACTCTAAAAGGCTCCCCTTTTATTTGTTATGACTTTACCACAATTTATGGGAAGTACCTGGCAATTAAATCCTGACTGCTGGTTTTTTAGTTGTTGTGGTTTATTCTCTTCCTTTCCCCTCCTCACTGCTATTCTAACAGCTTCAGGATGATTTGCACTAAGTGGTCTTGGATTCTTCCTCCTCATCTCCCCTTCCCTCCCCCCTGCCCTCCTACTTTGTGTGTGTGTGTGTGTGTGTGTGAGAAGGAGAGATTTTTAACCCTATGTTCTCAATATTAGGTCCTTCTATAAGTAAGCGGCCTGCAAAATGGTTTGGCTTTGTTTAATTTTTCTGCCTCAGTTTCTCTATTCCACTTGTCCCAGAATTTCTCTAGATTTTAATTGTCCTACAACACTTATATATACATACACATGGAAATACATACATATGTTTACATATGAAATTATGTGTGTGTGTGTTTATGTTTATGTGTGTTCGTATTATGAGACCTGGTGAGACCTGCCTGGTTGTGTTGCAGCAGAGTTTGGATGTACCACTGTGTATCATCACTTTCTTTTTTTCCTTAGCTAGTTTTTGTTCGGCATCTAAGTGGATCATTACTATTAATTTTAATAAGTTATGGTTGATCAAAAAGGAGATAATTTGATTGAGTATACTAAAACTTTAAAGTACTCCACTTCTATAGTTAGGCATCAATAGAAAATTAAAATTTCCCAGAAACCATCTCCCTAATGAGCATGTAGGATCTGTACTACTTGTAATCATCGTACTGTTATCAACTGAACACTCCAAAAACCGAATATATTAACACATCAACTCTTCTCTGCACCAGCTGGAATTTTAGTGGTAATGGTTTTATCGAAATATTCAGTAGAAAGAGAATTGCACAGAACACAAGGCTTTAACTGGAACCAAACGAGTTCCTCGTTTCCCAGTGTTCTCTTTTGCCTAAAGCAGCAGTACTAGGTTTCCTCACATTTCCCCGGTGGAAGCAGATTCCTTACCTTCTTTGTTTTTTTTTTGTTTCTCCTCTACTACTCTATTCTATATCTGGTTCAGAGTCATTCCTTGTGTTAACCAGACTTTAAATCCCTCAAAGCATGAAGATTGTGGCTGCTGTACAATGTAGAGGGCCCTGTTCTTTACGACTCACCATTGCTGGCCAGATCTGACATGGTTAAGAGAGTAGGCAGAGCCCTGGCCGGTTTGGCTCAGCAGTTAAAGCATCAGCCTGCGGTCCAGAGAGACCCGGGTTCAGTTCCCGCTAAGGGCACGTACCTTGGTTGCAGTTTGTCCCTGTCCCTGGTTGGTCGTGCGAGTGGCAGCCACTCGATGTGTCCCTTTCACGTCGATGTTTCTCTCTTTCTCTTCCTCTCTCTCTCTCCCACTCTATCTGAACAAAAAATGGAAAAATGTCCTCAGGTGAGGATAAAAAAAAAGAGAGAGAGAGTAGACAGAGCCCTTTCTAGTGTGTGTTGGTTCCCTTTGGACGTGCCTTCGTCCTTATGCCTTTCCACATTGCCAAAGCAGAGTCAGGACACCTCTGCTTAGTTCCTGTGAATGGAATAAGTTAATGAAAAATAGTATCTTTCATTGTCCATGTTTATTACCTGATTGTGCTCAATTTAGCATTTTCCTGTCTTATGTTACTTTTTTGTGTTATATATATTAGTTTATTTAATCCCAAATGTAGTAGTAACTTCTTTAAAAACAGATTGGATTTTCCACATTGTATCCAGCATATTTTAATATGTATTCAAAGAATGCATTTGCCTGGCTGGTTTGTCTGAGTGGTTGAGCATCGACCCATGCAACAAGAGGTCACCAGTTTGATTCCCGGTCAGGATACATGCCCAGGTTGTGGACTAAATCCCCAGTGGGAGGCATGCAGGAGTCAGCCAGTCAATGTTCTCTCTCATCGATATTTCTATCTCTCTCTCCTTCTCTCTTCCTCTCTCTCTAAAAATCAATAAAGAAAAAAAAAAAAAAAGAATGCTTTGAATTAAATAAAAAGGGATTAATGTAAAAAGCAGTGAATAGTATTTATTGCTGGATATTAAAATATTTTCAAATAATGCTGTGACTGAGTTGTGTTAGAGGTAAATAAGCTAAACTGAGATCCAGACTACTACATTTTATCAGATGGTCGTACATAGTGGAGTACTAGCAAATCTCAAATCACTTTCAATAAGATTTATTAGGCACTTAAGGGCTTTGTATATGTTAACTCATTTAAACCTTATAACAACCATATGAATAGATACTTTTATTGTCTCCATTTTATAGATGAGAAAATTGAGGTATGTGGAGGTTAAGTAATTTGCTCGGCAGTACATAACTCTTGGAAAGTAGAACTGGAATTTGAGTCTTGGCCATCTAGTCCCATAGTCCTTGCTCTCAATGCAAACCCTCTGTGCCTTGTTTTGGCTTGTTGTGTATATACTTGGCAGACGTCATTTATTTCAACTCTACAAAAGCACAGACATGCTTTGTGTTACCTTAAATTTTAAAAACACCAAAAATAAGTTCTAAAAAAGAGATTCATTTTTCCAGGTTGCTGCCAGTTACTGAAGCAGAAGAAAGTCCATAAAAATAAATACACTAGCAGTTAAGGTCTGTCAACAACCATGAGCTGATTCCTGGTGTTGAACGTGGAGCCAGGCCACCCCTTTCATCCTCATCTTTTTCTTTCCCTGGGTCGAAGGCGAGCGTTCCGGTCCACTTCAGGTGGGAAGCGAGCCCTTCTCCTCAGCCACGGCCCAGTTTATGAACTAGATTGCTGTTTTAAAAGCATAGCTGGATGACCAGGTACCTTTCTGTATCCCTGCTCATGTCTGCAAAGAGTGGAGTTGTGTTCATGCAAGTACGATTTTTTTTAAAGGAAAAATGACTCTGTCGAGAAGGGACTGTGACCATGGGGTGGAACAGAAATGGCCCTCGCCTGGAACTTGTCGAAGCGTGGCCATCACACAAGAGGCAGAGCTGCTGTAGTGCTCTAGCTCACCTAGCTGAACTCTATAAAAACCTCCAATTCAAACCTGCAGATGCAAATATAAATTCTATAGGAATTCAACTGAGGTGGGCCTCATAGCCCAGGACCTGCTATGGTCCTGGGTGCAAGCAATAGCGCTGGGAAATATTTCTTTCTTGAATTCCTGGGAAGAGACAAATGTTAAAGACCAATTCCTGATTTTATTATGAAGTCTAGGAGTATAATTGTGAGTAAATGCTCCGAGGGAAGAGGGCTGTTGGTGGTGGGACAAGAGTCCCACCGAAATGGCAGCACTTGGTTCTCGAGTCCCCCAGATCCATAGTATCCACTTGATTGAATGGATATTAGTAAGCAGACACCAGTTTATGCCCGTAGTTTCATGCTGGGCATCTCCTGACCTTTTTACAAAGGTCTCCATGAAGGACTATTTAAAAAAAAATTTTTTTTTTTCTTTATTGATTTTAGAGAGAGAGGAAGGAAGAGGAAGAAAGAAATAGAAACATTTATGAGAGAGAACATCAGTTAGCCACCTCCTGCATGCCCCCCAATGGAGGTCAGGCCCACAACCCGGGCATGTGTCCTGGCCAGGAATGGAACCGGTGACCTCTTGGTGCGTGGGTCGACGCTCAACCACTGAGCCACTCCGGCTGGGCTTGAAGGATCTTTTTCAGATTAGATGATCACTGTCTGTCCTGAAGGAAACCTGAACTTTGAGGGTGGAAAGAGGTTTAATAGGAGATATCACAGGAACAAAAGAAAGGTGTCATTGAAGAATACCATGAAAGAAAGGGACTCAAGACATGAAATGAAGGAATCTTAACAGAATTCTTGAACATCTACTTTTAGACCCTACATAAGTGACTTTTGGTATCTTAGAGTTTTGTTTTGTTTTTAACAGTATCTAATAGTTTCTTGATTTAATTTTTCAGGAAAAGGTCTGTGTGTTTGTGCCTGGAGGCCCCAGGAGCTGGATAACATGTCTGCTTTATGGGCCAGAAACCCCCAGGGAAAAGCTATTAGCAGCAGCTCTGTGGAGGAGAGAGCAAAAGGCTGGCTCTGGGGTCCTAGAGGGAGAGCCAGAGACGGAGAGCACAGACAGCCTGCTTGAGCCTGACGGTGGGGTGGACAATGGGGTCCTTACGAACCAGGAAACCAGAGAGGTTCACAGTAGGAATAACTCTTCAGTCACTTTCCATAAAAACTACATGAAATTATATGTACAAAGCAGATAGCAATGCTTAGCACATTTTTAGCACTTTAGAAAAAGTGGTTGAATCTGACTGGGGGTTCAGTATCTTCAGAAAATACTCAATTCCCCTACATAGAGTGCAGTTGATCTAGCATGTTTCCCTCATGTACCCCCACCCCTGTTCCCCATAGCTGGCTAACTCCTCTTCTTCGGGGCTCCCCACATATGTGTTAGGGTCCCTTCTCTCAGTACCTGTGGTGCTGCATTCTCATGCTCATCTTAACATGTTCTTCTAAAGTACTTCCTTAGAAGATTGCTGATAAGCTCTAAACCCAAGAGAATGTACACCCACCATGAAAAGGACCAGTGCTCAGAAGAGGGTTCCACCCTCCGTTGGAGGAAGAGAGGCTGGATTTGCGGAGAGGGAGCAGTGGTTTGTGTAAGAGACCCCTGACCAAACCAGCTATGAAGGCGACCACAGGTCCCTTTCCCAGGGACTCCAGATGCAGCTTTCCATCTGCCATCTGATTTCTGCTCGCCTCAAACACCCCTTCATCACTCTGCCCCAACCCCTCATCTTATGAACCAAACCAATGATTCTGCAGAGTGTGTGTGTGTAGGTGTGCTTATGCATGTGTGTGTGTTGTATTTGATGTTGCAGTGCTGAGGATTTTTAACTTTTCAGATCCAATCTCCTTAAAACTATAAAAAATATTAACACAAATAATATACTTAAATACTAGGCATATCAATTATATAAGAAACCACTGTTTTATCTTTCTGGTACCATAGTATTTTATGGTTGAAAAGTGTCAGTCCCTTGGCTAATGTATGTGAGGTTCTTGGAGCACTTCAACACTAATTCACTATACAGTCTTAAGGTGAGGTAACTGTACATTTCTAAATTTGATGTCCTCCCAGGAATGAAACGTGTCATCCAGGTGCTTAATCCTGGAAAAGCTATCGCGAGAAAGGTAGGGTGCTACTGCCTTTGGGCAAAATGTAGCACCTGTCAGAGCAATGGCCACCACTGTTTGGAAAGAGCAAGGTCCACATGTAATTTCTAAGAGTGTCCTGGAGGGCTCAATGAAAGGACCTAATCTGGAAAGTTAAGGTTTTGGGTTTTCTTAGGAAAAAAGTCAGTAAGCCCATAGTCAGCCTGTTTCCCTCCCGGAATTCTGCAATGCTGAGTTCTCTGCCCAGAACACTCGAGGGTGCTGGGCTTCCCTAGACTGCTTGGCTAGGGGTGGGTGTGGTGAGCCTTTCCTTCCTTCCTTCCTTCCTTCCTTCCTTCCTTCCTTCCTTCCTTCCTTCCTTCCTTCCTTCCTTCCATAAACGTTTTAAGATAAGTGTGGATTCACATGCAGTGGTAAGAAATAAGAGAGATCCCCACTACCCAGCTTCTCCCAATGGCAAAGTCTTGCAGAACAAGAGAACAGGAGCACACTTGGGATACTGGCATTGACACAGTTCCATTACCACAGGATCCCTCCTGTTGCCCTTCATAGCCACACCTTCCTTCCTCTCCCCAGTGTATGCTTTTGAAGAGCACTTTGGTGCCAGTGGTAAAAACAGTGTGGTGGGCATGAATGTTCCTCTTTGCTAGGACGTTTAACACCCTGAAGTCAGAGCCAGTTCTGACAGATGAGTGCTCTTTTTTCCTGGTACATTCCCATCTCTGCTGTGCTTTTTCCCCCAGGGAGATTATTCTGTATTTTTTTCCTGAGTACCAGCTACCATCAGAATTTGGCTACTCATCTGTGGAGGAATTTGTGGCAAGGTCGGAGGTAAGCTGGCTTTTGTGAAACTCTTGAGGGAATGACAAAAGAGCCTGAATTTAATCTCCAGTGAAGAAAAACGTGAAGTGTTACCAGTAGGAGGAACTAAGTGAATGAAGATGAGTATCTGTATACCAAACGGATGACTCAGAATGAAAACCATTGTGGCCAAGGGTTCAGTAAGCTTTGGGAAGATTGTACAGACGGAGAACAATCCAGTCCTTTGCAGAGACCAAAGGAAATGGGACATAGTTCGAGACTTCCCTCCCTTGCACCAAAAATAGAGTTTCTATTTCTTAGGTACACTAACTCAACTACGTTTTATGAGGAGCTGAGGTGAGGATTGGGTGGGTCAGCACGTCAGGTGCTCAGAGCACTAGTCTCTATTAGAATCTTTGAGACATCACATGGAAAGATAAAGACAGTTATGTCTATGAAACCTTTTCTAGGGAACAGTACCACATATGAAGGGAAGGGAAACTTTGATCAGCTCCTTGGGGTACACAGGGCGAGCCTCGCACTGTCTCACAGCGGATGTCCCCGTGCTGCCGGTCCCCACAGGCCGTGGTAAAGCTGAGTGAGGCAGGCAGGCCTGCAGCCCAAGCTGCTCCCAGGAGTGCAGAAGAGCCTGTGTGGTGCCGGGGGCGGGGGCCCCTCCCACACTCATGTTCAGTGTGGCTCGTGGAAAGAATGAATGGATACACGTGGAAGGGCTGTCACTGAAAAGGGCCAGAGTGCCATGTGCTGTAATCTGATCCTGGGTAAAGTCCTGAGTTTTCTGATCTGCATCGTTGTTTCTGCTTCTTCACCCTATACTCTCACCTCCCATCAGGCTCTGACCTCACTGCTTCGTGGAGACAGGATGGTGAGGCCACCCGTGACCACTGTGTGGACAGAGGCAGTGGGCAGTCACTTACCTGGCCTCTCAGAGACCTTCAACCCAGTCGACCACTTTCTCCTTTTAACTTTTTCTTTGTGTAGCTTCCATAATAACACTCTTCTCATTTTCTTGTTCCCTCCTATGTTTGCTGGCAGCTCCTTCTCTATTTGGTTTCTAAATGTTGGCATGTTTCTGGAACATGGACTCGTTTCTGGAACGCTTTGTTCTGTCTATTGAATGGTGCTTCTAGGTGACTTCAGCCAGTCTTCAAACCCCACCCCATATGCCAGTGACCCCCCCCCCATCTATTTCCGTGGTGTTACCGTCCAATAATCCAGATTGCAACTACCTTCTTGACATTGCTTTCAATTTTTATTATCATTTACTCTTCCTAAACCTTGATTTCGTTCTTTGCAATTTCTTAACCATGCTGTATTAATTATGTGGACTGCCTTAATAATTTTTTGGAATGAGGTAAGGTAAACCTTATTGAATTAATTTAATTAGATCCAGGCTTAAAAGACCCACTGTATCTGTGTTGGCCAGTTCTATGTTTTGATGCTTCTTTTATACTGGATATTGCATGTTATAACTGTTGTAGACAGCTGATTCTCCAGAAGTTAATATCCTGTTTTATTATTACAATTTACAAAAACAGCTGGAGCAGTGCCCAGAGCAGACAAACAGAAAGCTGAAAATATGTTTCCAACAGGTAAGCTTCCTTTCAATGTAGTTGTTTATATTCTAAATGATCCTGTATTCCAAAGAAGAAATAATATACATTTCCAAATGTTCTTTTTGGAAGGAAATCAAATTGGCCTTCACTTATTAAGACTTAGATTAATGTGTAGCATATCAGATGTCACAAAGCAACATCCTTTTCAATTTTAAAATGCAAATGTTTCCACAGTGGAAAGCTCATGAAACACTTGGAGGAGGACTGTTGTTTGTACTGGAAACATGACATTCTGAGTCTTTAAGAAATAGATTCACTGAATTCTCGAGACACTGGACTAAACCAGAAATTGTTCGTAGATTAAAGTTTTAATTACAGTTAAATCCTCTTTTTACATCGTTGATAGTTTCTTGACTTTAAGCAAAACACTGTGTAATGAAACCAATGTTGCCGTAGGCTGTTGATGTAAACAAGAATTAAGTTCCTGTGGCATCTCATCAACGCTATAATGAAACTGTGTTGAACGAAACTACCTTATTTGAGGACCTGCTGTAGTCTGGACAAGTTCATAGTTCCCTGTTTTTTGTTAGTGGTGTTTGTTTGTTTGTTTGTTTAGTATCCTATCAACAGTTTTTCAAGTTTATGATTTTTTTATTATAAAAGTAGTTATAAAAAGAATTAATGCTAATAAAAATTTAAAAAATTATCCATAACTCCAAACAATTCCAAAATCACTGCTATTACTGTTTTGATGTATTTCATTATAATCTCTCCCTCATCCCTCTCTCTCTCTTTCTTTCTGCAGATGTGTTTTACAGTCTTGAATAATACTGTATATTTAGTTCTTAAAGATTTCTGGGGAGCAGGGGGAGGGGAGTCCATAGAGACATTCAGTTCTATTAGACAAATGTCTCAAAAAATCATATGCCCTCAGCTCCCTTCATTCACACTCAAGGGAACTGAGACGCCAAGATGTGAACTACAACGCTAGGTCCCCGGGCTGACACAGGGAATTAGTGTTGGAGCCAGGACAGCCAGAGGGTCGCAGATTCCTCACAGAGGCCACAGCAGTCCAGAACTTTCCATGACACCAGGATCAGTGCTGAGAGATGGTAGCTCTTCACTCACATGCATTTGCTCCAACAGGTACACAAGCTCCATCATTACCACATGTGCTGGCATCTTCCGTATGCTTATGCTGTTAAGGAAGAAACCACAGGCTCAAAATAGCATCACTTGTGTTAAAGCCCATGATACCAAACCTAGATTTAATACCTGACCTAATTGCCGTCTTAACCTCTCCCTAGAAATGTATTCTTAATCAACCAATCTGGAATTTTCTAGTCAACACCAATGAGGTAATCTGTCCTGTGGGCCATCCTCATCCCCCATAGAAAGAACAGGCAATCTGCACCATAAAAACTCTTGTCTCCCCCCACCCCCAAAAGATGTCCTGGTCTAAAAATAATCCTTTCTCTTCTTTTGTTACTAGCTCCCTCGCCCCCCCCTTTTTTCTATAAAAGCCTTCTATTTGGTACAACCCCTCAGAGAGCGTTGTTGCTAATGGGATGCTGCCCAATTAATAAATTGCTTAATAAAGCCAATTAGATATTCAGGTTTACTGTTAAATTTTTTTGAACAATGTTTGCAGTCATCTTCTGGAAAACTATCTTGACAACATGCAAACCTATAAAGACTAGGAGGTGAATGGTGCCCCCTGGAGTTGTGCAGAGCACAACTAACTCTAAGTGAAGGCATTGCCTCATCTCTTTAGTAAGAAATAGTCTATATCTGATAGTCAGGTTTTATAAATGAAATGAAATTCTGAAGTAAGTTCCCAGAGACATATAACTAGCAAACTTGAAATGAAAATTAGAACCTAAACCAGATTTCTTCCTAGCTGTATTTGAAGTTTAGGGTGTGCCTAAATTTTACACCCCGGTTGATATATTTGCCTCTAATGTTCCTGATGGAGAGCATACTGTGATGGCACCAGTGAAGGCATATTGTAGGTCTTAGTTTCTCATCATTGTTCCAATGAAAAGTGAGTTTATCTCCTGAATAATGTCTTGTTGAAAAAGCAGTCATTGAAGATTCTCAGCTTGAAGACTGACTTGTCATCATTTCCAAACTAGAATAGAATAAAAGACTAAGGTTTTTTTCAATATGTTTTTGACCCTATTTTAGCACTAATATTATTATCATTCGTGAAGATAAAACTGTGATTGATCAAAAGCTACTAGAGCCCTGGCCGGTTTGGCTCAGCGGTTAGAGCGTCAGCCTGCGGTCAGAGAGACCCGGGTTCGGTTCCCGCTAAGGGCACGTAGCTCGGTTGCAGTTTGTCCCCGGCCCTGGTCGGTCGTGCGGGTGGCAGCCACTCGATGTGTTCCTTTCACGTCGATGTTTCTCTCTCTCTCTCTCTTCCTCTCTCTCCCTCCCACTCTACCTGAACAAAAAATGGAAAAATGCCCTCAGGTGAGGATAAAAAAAAAGCTACTAGAGCCAGACACTGAATTAGGCCTTTTATATATGTTGCCTCATTTAACTCTCACAACTTCGGGAGGTGGATGCTGCTATCTCCATGTGAGTAATGAGGAAATGGAGTCAGGAAGATGATATTCCAGTGTCACAGTGCAAGTAGCCAGTTTAGGGTTAGAACCCAGATTTGTCCCACTTCAAAGCCCTTTTTACTATACCACTGTCCTTCATCTTACTCTTATTCAGATGGTAATACTTTAGCCTTGTGGTAGAGTTTGCATGTATTACTTGCAAAAGGTATACTACATCTTTTCTGCCTGTTGGTATAAAATAACGATTGTTTACTTGCTAGACATCTTGACGTTATATGATGAGATGTATATGGGGGAGATGCAGACAATGAAATGTCAGGAGTAGGGTGTGTATGTGCATGTGGTAGGCAGGTTTAGTGTCCCATCAAGAAATGTCTCAACTGTAAGTCAGTGGCAGCCAGCTTGAAGAATTACTGGTAAGGCTCCTGGATCTTCCCACAGATCTTCATCTGCTGGTTAGGGAACTCTGATCTAAATAGTTACACTGTAAAAGCTAAGACTTAGATTGTCATGCATTTCAGGTTACCCACATATATACTATGTCCTTCATGTCTGTTTCTAAATGGTTATTTTTTAGTGTCTACACTTTTTGTAATGGAGTCAGGTTATTGTGTCCTGGAGGCCAGACTGAGTAAGAGAAGTGTTTATTCAGGGTGAACTGTACTAGCAGAGATGATGAGTAGAATCCCCTTAATGTTCAGGGCATGTGGGACTCAAAGAACGAAAGCAAAATAGTCAGGAGACCATGAGTTCCTGCTGAAACTGAGATATTTGCAAGCAAAACACAGAGCAGTTGGAATCATGCCTTCCCTAATGGGAAATGGCTTGTTGTTAAGGACTTTAATACTGATTGTTAGCTTTAGGTGGTAGTTATAAAGTCTTTTCAAAGTATTTCTTGACATCTTTGTAGAGGAAAATCCATGCAACATGCTTTGAGGTGTGTTCTTTTAATGAAGACAGCCACATCCAAGCACAGGAGAACCCTTGATAACTCACAGACTTCTTTGGTCCCCTCACCCTGACCACATCAGTGGTTTTCATAACTGCTGTTGGAGTAGTCAGTGAGTCATGGCAGCATTGGCGGTCCTCCACAGCCTGAGCCAACCACCATTCTGTATTTTTCCCTCTCACAAGCCATCTGGTCCATCCAAATTGGAATTGCTCCAGCCTACTATGCTAGCCTGCCTCTGAGCCGTTCCCCATGCCATTCCCTAGAACACTCTTATCTGCTCTCCCAGTCCACAGTTGGCCTCTTAACATTCTGCCTACCCCATGTAGAACCTGGTCAGTGCTGCCTTCTACATCCAGCCTTGCTCAGTCTCTCCAGAGGAAATTCATCTCGACTTTCTGTGCTCTGAGGGAGCCTTAAAATTTGATTTTAGCAATAATTAAATTTTCTTCCTTGTATTGTAGTAGTTTCTGGTATTTTATTTTTTCCCCAAACTAGATTATAGAATCTTTAAAGTTAACAATCCTCTTGCACCAAACTCAATCCTGATGGCATTCATTCATCAGTAACTTTGAATGCATCTGGATCTTACTGTTTGTGTGTTGAATCAATGTTGATGGTTTCTGCCGCAGAGCCTGCCCACATGAACACTCACCTGCTTATCCCTGTGAGTAAGGAACCAAGTCTATAAGTCTTGTAGGCCTGTTTGTTTTCTTAATTCTTACCAGAGGATATTTTTTCCATTGAATATTTTTTTCTTTTTTTTTATAGAGAGTAGAAGGGAGGGAGGAGGGGGAGAGAAAGAGAGAGAGACACATCACTGTGATGTGAGAGAGATACATTGATTGGTTGCCTCCTGCATGTGCCCCAACCAGGGCTGGGCATTGAACCTGCAACCCAGGTACATGCTCTTGATGGGGAATTGAACCTGCAACCCTCTGGTTCATGGGCTGAAGCTCTAACCACTGACCCACACTCGCCAGGGCTTGTAGACCTGTTTTACTTTATGCAAACTTGTTAGGATTCTGGAACTCCAGAGTTCTGACTTTTTAAATTCAAGGCATAAAATGTAAATCTTGGTTTAATATCCTTTCTTTCAAATCCTAATTCTGTTCTGAATTAATGTAGTCTAGGAAGAATTCCACTTTTGATCTGCCACAAATACCTCTACAAGTGGAAGTTGATCCAGCAGAACTAAGCCTCTCATCTTGTTACAGTTCTCTACTCACCTTAATTAAAATGTTAATACAACTAGAAGTCCTTTTATAGTGAGCTTTAAAAGTTGTCAAAATTACTACCTTTTATGGAAACCTCCTGGAGGTGTTAGCCTGAGAAAGGCAGAGGAATAAATCAGGAAACAGGCTGGTAGTATTTGAAGGAAATAGAGTTTGCTGGTTACAAGACAGTGAGCTCTGAGAGACTAAATATGGCTTTGAATGTAATGTGCTATATAAACATTTTTTTAAATTGATTTTTAGAGAAGAAGGGAGAGACAGAAACATCGATAAGAGAGAACA